GAAGCTCTTAGTCTCTAAGAATAGTTAGATAAATAATATACTTAGCCTTAAGTAGTTAAAGCACTTTAACATATATACAAAGACGTGTTAGGTAGGAGTATATAGGTTGCTTATCTTAGATAGCTATAAGAGCTATCTTAACTAGGAGTTTAAGGACTATTACCTAGAGAACTAAATCCTTACTCTCTATATACTACCTTACTTATTGCATATCCTCTAGCTACTTAATATAGTCTATTTCTTACTATTAAAGTATAAGTACTCCTAACATGTTTAAGACTTAGCACGCTAACATGTCTTCTATATTAATAAGGAAGGCTTCCTACTAGCCTTTAGGGATGTGTTCCTTAATATATTTATAAAGGTTAACTACTAAAAGGCCTTTAAGGTATTAGGGCTTATTCCTACTAATACGCAGGTAGTGTTAGATTGCCTTAAAGTGCAGCTACATACCCTACTAGTAGTACCTCTACCTAAAACACTATAGCAATCTAAGATGCTAAGTAATACACACAAGTTTAGGTCTTAATCTAAGCTTATAAGTAACTCCTTCTAATAATTACTAAGTATAGCGCAAGAGGGGTTCTTAAAGCTTATAAAAGGGGCTAAAGAGATACTACATAAAAATGTCCTTATTAAGGCCTGTGTGCGAGAGCTTAAAGAGTAATTAGTAGTAATAACTAAGAGAAAATTGCGTAAGAGAAAGCAGATTCAGCATAGTGGCACACTTAAGTATGGCCTAGCAGCATTGCAGGTAGCTGCTAAGGCGTGTGTAGCAGCTCAGCCATCTAAGAAGACTTAGGGTGGAGGTGGTTAACTAGGAGCTTAGTTAACTGTTTAGCGCTGTAGGAACTGTAGCAAGACTAGACACAACACACAAACGTGCTAGGAGGGTGTAGAAACATCTTCTAAATCTAATGCAAGCACGCAGTATGCTAGGTCACTATTTAATAGTAAGTAGTTGTAGTTGTAGTAACTTGTGTTAGTTGTGCTAAGAGAAAATAGCTAGTTCAGTGATATAGCTAGCTTAGTGATAATCTACGTTATCTAAAAATAATATTATTAATATAGAAGAAGATAAATACTCTGTCCTTTATTATGCAGCAAGGCTTGTAAGGTACTGCCTGTAGGCCTAGTTAAAGGAGGGTGTTGTTGAATTCCTTCTGCCATAGCAGAGGTGAGATGCGCAGTCTATACAGGGCCTTGTTCAGTTTCAGAGCTGTATTTGGCTTCCTGTGGCCGTACAGCATTCTTATGTAGACCTCTTAATTAATTATTGCATGCACAAAAGCGTTAGTGACGTTGTACTGCTTAAGCGTAAGGTCACAATCTGCATCAATCGCCATTATTAATCTAAATAACTGGCTAGCAAGCGTTGCAGCGTAGGTGTCCTGTGCCAATACATCGCGCTGCTAGTCTCGTTAGACTACTAGGCGCGCCTTGCATTTCTGCAATCTGTGTTACTTGTCAGATTCTCGCACTGTGCGCCAGAGTATGTGCTTAACGAGATCTTAGGTGGTATGATGATTTATTGATGATTGTGGCGATGGTGTCTCTGCCGTGGCGTCGTGCTGGTTGCTACAGGATTGAAGTGGGGGGGAATTAGCGCTGTTCGCGGCCGCCGGTGTGCGGGCCAATCAGGAGTTGCCAGGTCTCGCTTAATCGACCTGGCAACTGCTGATTGGCTGCACGACAGGTCCCTGCTCGATTGCGCAGATCCGACCTCTCGCCGCTCGCTCTTATCTGACATTACTAGTCAAGCTTGTACATGTATACCTATATATAGTTAAGGATCTAATGCCCTTTTTGTCTAATCTACTTAAGTAGTGCTTCTAACTATAAATTTATCTTATAACGTAAACCCCCAGCACCCAGGCCAACCCAGCACCCGGGCCAAAAAAGCTTGGCAGTACCAACTCACGTTACAACTCTTCAATTTCATCGCTATTTAACATAGAGCCTGTGTACGCTGTGCTTGTATCTAATTTAGAATATGCCTCTATATCTTTTTTGCACGTTTGCGTGTTGTGTCTAGTCCCTCTACAGTTTCTACAGCGCTGTAGAGCTGGTTAAGCTTATTCTTGATCACTACCACCACAAGCCTTCTTTGACCGCTCAGCGGCTACAGAGGCCTCTGCAGCCACCTGAGCTGCTACCTCACCATGCTCTATAGTACTACCTTGCTAGATCTGCTTCCTTTTGCGCGATTTCTGCTTAGTTATTACTACTAATTGCTCTTTAAGCTTAGTAATCTAGGCTGCTTAAAGCGCGTTCTAATGCAGCATAAGCTCACTGCCTCTAACAAGCTAAGAGAAGCCTGCTTACGCAGTAATAGGTAACTAAGTAAAAGACTTGCGTACAAGCTTTAACTAAGATCTAAACTTGTAGGTATTGCTTAGAGTCTTTAACTGCCACAGCGTCTCTAGGAGGAGGGGTTCTAGCAGGGTATGTAGGCGCACTTTAAGGCAATCTAACACAACCTACGCATTAAGAGGGACTAGCCCTGCTGCCTTAAAGGCCTTATAATAGTTCTCTACTATAAATATATTAAAAAACACGTCCTTAAAGGCAGAGAGGAAGCCTTCTTTATTAATATAGAAGATATGCTTGCGTGCTAAGTCTTGTACGCGCTAAGAGTACTTACGCTTTAATAGCAAGAAGTAGACTATATTAAGTAGCTAGAGGATATGTAATAAGTAAGGTAGTATATAGAGGGTAAGGATTATGTTTTTAAGGTAGTAGTCCTTAAAATCCTAGTTAAGGTAGCTCTTATGGCCGTCCAAAATGAGCAGCCTGTACGCCCCCACCTAGCTCGCCTTTGTATGCGCGTCGAAGTGCTTCAGCCACTCAAGGCTGAGCGCGTTGTTTGTCCAGCCGCTCTTAGAGACAGAGAGCTTCTAATTGCGTGGTATATCTGCCTCCTCGTACTAGGCAGAGATGTGAACGCGTCCTTTGTAGATAATAAAAGGTAGGGTACAAGATCTAGCAGCGCAGATGCTCTAGATAACTGTTACCTACTCGCAATTACCTAGCTAAATAAGCTAAGGTTAATTACATCTCTCTATGCCTATAACAACCTTTATTAAGCTAATAACACCTATCTAGAAGCTAGTCTTATTAAAGTTGTGCATGTTGTAGTTGTGTACGCTGTATTTAGCTTTTGTGTCCTCTACTAGCTTAAACCACGCGCTAATTGTCTCTAGATCCTCCTGCAGCATCCTCTGCCTATCTTTAGCTTGATTAAAGGTTATCTTGAGCGTAGCTGAACGCGTCACAAAGCGCTCAGCCTAGTGCTTGCCAACAGGCTGCCCACCGCGTACACCCAACAGTTTGTTTGCTATATCTGCCACCTCACACAGCTAGGGCGCAAATCCTTGCAAATTAAGGTTAAGAATATATTATATAATTATTTACTCTTTAGTGTGCGTAAGCTTATATTGTGTATTATATCTATTATTAATATAGAGTCTGCCTCTATACCTAGCACTTAAGGTTGTATGTAGTATATTAAATACCTAAGCAGTACTTTAGAGGCTTTTAAATTTATATAATTAGAAAGTAGAAAGGGTAAGATTAATTCTACCCTCTTGTTTAGATAATTGCACATCTTGTTAGTAAGGTATTACGTGTTAATATTAATAGTTGTGGTCTTGGCAAGAAATGGCCTGGGTGCTGGGTTGGCCTGGGTGCTGGGGGTTTACGTTAGTAGCTTTAGAGATACTCCTACTTAGCTTTCTTCTACTAATAACTTAATAGGTAACTTTCTATCTCCTTGTATAACAAAGGAGGTAGTAGTAGCTAGCTTTTATATAGGGCAGTTCCTTTTACTATTAGCCTTCTAAGCTAAGCCTTATTAATAATCTTATCTTAGTAGATACTAATATTTCCTGCTTAGGTGCCTACTATAAAGGCTGCTTACTAAGGGATTGTTCTTAAATAGCTGTGTGTGGGGTATATTAGCTTTCTAGGCCTACCTTTAGCTAGAAAAGCTGCTAGTAGTAGAGTTAGAGGTAGAGATAGATAGATCTCTGTAATCTTTCTTCCTTAGTAATATCTAGGTAGTTCTAAATCTAGTAATAGATTAGATAGTTGCATAGTGTTAGTAGCTGTGTTATCCTTATAGAATAACTTAGCCTCTAGATAGGTAGTTAGACTTAGTAGTTCTAGTATCCTTACAAGGGTAGCAATTTCTTTAAGGGTAGTGTGTATAAGGTTGTGTCACGGAGCCTGTGGGACTATACTCAGGTGATCGAAAGTATTTGATCAGTGGCTATCTATCCTATCACGAAAGTAAGGTTTATATACATAGGAAATATGTGTGGATCACATGATCCTAAATAAGCGAGCAGTTGGCTGATTATCCGGTAGCTCGTCAACGAAGAACGGATGAAACGAGCTTCTGGTTTAGACCTGGAGGTGCTCGTCCCGGTTTATCCGGGCCGGCAAGCTCCACACCCTCAATTGAGGTGCTCGATTGTGTGACAGGTTGTTATATAGGTCCTTAGTCTTGCTATTAAACACTATTTGCTTGTTAAAGGTGACATTACGTGTGATAATTACCCTAGCTAGTAATAGTATCTAGATGCAATAGATGTTAACGTACCTCACGGGCGAGTGGCCGGCCCGGGCGAGTGACCGGATTTTGCCAAGACCACACCAAACTTCATACAACCTGTGATGTCTCAACGCAAAAAGGCTTAAAGTGTCTTAGAGGAACTAGATATATAGCTTGCTTTCAGGCTCTTAAACAAGACGCGACTCTTACTATCCTACGTGCTGCAACAATCTACAAGGTGTTAGAAAGAACGCTAAGATAACAATATGCTAGAACGCCCTTATAACGCAATTGTAAGGTTAACTTAATAAAGCTGACAAGCACTAAAAAGGAGGTGATTGTGCAGTATGTTCTAAAGCTGGACGAGCGAGGATACCCACCCTGGCTTACTGATGTGTAGGATATGGCTAACTCTCTACTCACTAAGCGCCACCAGCCTCCTGTAGACAAAGACACCTACAATTTTAACAAGTCTAGGTTCATGATAAGTGTTATATCAACAGGAGCTGTTGTTACAGGCTCAGAGCGTCGTAGAAGACTAAATACAGTACAGCAGGGCGACCAAGAGTAGACCAGCATCATCCAGGGTATCAACCCTAACCAGGTCGCAGAGCTTCAAGCTGCCAATGAGGCCGCCACACGCCGTAAATCACACAAGAGGAAGCGGATCTAGAGGGAGGGGACTCTCACTGTTAGTGAAGGAGTGCGCTTAACTACCCTAAAGGAGTTTAAAGCCCGTGGTGATAGGAAGAAGGCAAGCAAGAAGAGGTGTGTTGAACCAGGCACTCAGTCTTTACAACGCTGTAGCAGGTGTAGTAAGGCAGGGCACAACGCGCGAACGTGCATAAAAGATGCGTAAGATACTGTAGATTAGTGCTGTATACTGTAAGTTACAGTAACTTGCAGTAGCTTGCTATAATATGCAAGAGAAGTTGAAGTTTGGTGTGGTCTTGGCAAAATCCGGTCACTCGCCCGGGCTGGCCACTCGCCCGTGAGGTACGTTAGAGGATCTATATCTAACAAGATACCTAATCTATGCTTTTAGATCTAAGTATTAGAGGCGTAATTTTCTATAGTATATGTTATTAGATATTACAAAGGCTTTACACCTATATACCTTAAGATAACTAAGGTTTAGTTTGTAGAGTAAGGTAATTCTACTATTACTAAAAGCAGTGTGTATAAAGAAGATCTTATAGGGTGTTATCAGATGCTCGTACTGTGAGCCAGAGTATGTGCTTAACGAGATCTTAGGTGGTATGATGATTTATTGATGATCGTGGCGATGGTGTCTCTGCCGTCGCGTCGTGCTGGTTGCTACAGGATTGAACTGGGGGGGAATTAGCGCTGTTCGCGGTCGCCTGTGTGCGGGCCAATCAGCAGAGCTACTATTATAGCAGGATTAGGAGTTATTGTGGCTATTACAGCTATTAGGACTATTAGAGCTGTTAGCTTAAAATTAGCTAGACATTAAATACACATTAAATAACTGTTGTAGGCCTACAAGTCCTACTATTGCCCACAGTACAATACCACGATTTCCTAATTTCGACAATGGAAAAACTTTTCCCGATGTAGAGGCACAGTTTGTCACAAACCTGCAAAGCAGCAACTAGTCACCACCTCTACTGTAACAACGCGCTACGAACAATGACCCGATACCACTAGGGTACAGTCCAGCGACTCATGATCATGGTCCTTGTTGCATAGCACAAGGTTGCACTAAACTGCCTCTAAACCCTTATATATAAGCAAGGAACTGTAGCACTATAGAGTAGTTTTTCTATATTCTTTTATACAAGACCTAACGTAAACCCCCAGCACCCAGGCCAACCCAGCACCCAGGCCAACCCAGCACCCAGGCCATTTCTTGCCAAGACCACAACTATTAATATTAACACGTAATGCCTTACTAACAAGATATATAATTATCTAAATAAGAGGGTAGAATTAATCTTACCCTTTCTACTTTCTAATTATATAAATTTAAAAGCCTCTAAAGCACTGCTTAGGTATTTAACATACTGCGTATAACCTTAAGTGCTAGGTATAGAGGTAGACTCTATATTAATAATAGATGTAACACATAACATAAGCTCACACGTACTAAAGAGCAAACAATTGTACAATATATTCTTAACCTTAATTTGCAAGGATTCGCGCCCTAGCTGTGCAAGGTGGCAGATATGGCTAACAAACTGTTGGGTAGACTGGCGGATGGGTACCATGTACCTAGGGTAGGGTATAGGTAGGGTATAGGTCGCACGGACGTAGGTATAGGTAGGGTAGGGTCGCACGGACCATAGGTATAGGTAGGGTAGGGTTGCACGGACCATAGGTAGGGTAGGGTAGCACGTGACTGGGTATAGGTATAGGTAGGGTAGCACGTGCTAGGTATAGGTTTGGTTTGGGTATATTACTAACCTAGTTTGTATACAACTAACCCTAGGTTGTACTAGTAG